GGCAATCAAACGCGGCCTGAAAACTGGGCTCTTGGACGAGTGGTGGGTAGGTGGGAATGTACATGTATGCGGTCATCTTCTCTGCCAGTATGTGTATGTGTCTTCTTGCACCTGTGTCTTTTCATTTGATTTTTTTTTGTTTTTTTCTTTATAGTTACGTGTGTGGGTTTTTACCTTTTAAGTGTCCACATAGCAGAATAAGAGATTGAAGCATAGGTTGTAGTGGCGCAAGGAAACACAAGCAAAGGCGTGCACGCTTATTTTTAACAACACCGCGTCGCTACAAAAACAAATATATATATATTTATAGGGGGAAAGAGAAGGATTGAGTGGTGTAGGCAAAGGGAAAAGAAAAGGAAGTTTACGAAAAGAAAAGCAACGGTTGGACCTAAGGGTCATCTTTGTTTTTTGTTGTTGTTTTATTTTCTTTTAAAGAGAAGGAAAGTAATTCTTGGCATTGGTTTTTTACCTGATCGCGTTCTTTTTCTCTGATTTCTTTTGGATTATTTTCCTTGTTTTTCCCTTTTGGCTTGGTGTATTTCGACATGGACAGAGAGTCGTCATCGCAGTTCACAGCTGACCGTGACGCGGAAGCTGTGCCCCACATCACGTCGAGGGAGGAACTCGCCGCACCATTGAGTATCACGAGGAGTAACGCCGAGTTACTGGGAAATTTGGATGATGATGATGGCAGCAAAAACTACAGTAATGAGAAGGCGGAGAGCGGGTTATTTAGGAATGAGGAAAGTCTGATGTCAAGGGAAACGTTATGGGGGAGCCCGTGCAGGCCAAAAAGCGACTTCAGTATTTCTTGTGGTGCCTCATTACGCGATGGTACTTTATCTAAGGCCTTTCAAGGGGAGCAGGTGCCCATGCAATTAAACGAGGAGAATCTCTGTCAGATGAAGAGGGAGATGGCGGAAGGAAAAGTGATCTTGCAACCCGAATTAATTGACGTTGATCCATACCACATTAAGCGAAGGGCGGCCAAAGAGAAAAATGTAAGCGTTATTTCAGTGGCGTCAGAGGCAGAAGATGCAACCGGCTCTTCAATTGTGAATT